CTTTCTATTGCTTTATTCTTCTATATTTTTTTTTTATCTTTTTAAGCTTTAGTTTTACGACATGTTATCAACACGATTACTCTACTATTGAAGGATTGAAGAAAAATATATATAAAAAAGGTAAAAATATTTGTGCTTATTTTTCTCTCGGAAACAAGGAAATTTAGTATATAATCTATTTTCTATTTTACTTTTTACCATGCATCATTAGTTTTCTTACCATCTCAAAAACATATGAGTCAAGCAAGTCATTTTTACTTTGAGAAAACTTTTGATTTGATCACTTATATATTTAAAAAGTAAAATTAGTTTTGTTAGTTAATAATTTGTAAAGACATTGTTCTTTATGATCTTATTTTATTAAAAGATAAGTTATTGAGTTATGTGGCATATACATATTGGTTGGATTATCATTATTGGTTACTTTTGTACCTATATTTTTATTTATCTAAACATTTACTACCTGAGTTATCAATATATTATTTGTACTAACAAATTTTATTTTGTGGTTATTTTAAAATGGTTAGTAAATTACGTTAAATCTTCGTAACAATATTGAAGAGTGTTAAAAGGTTTTAATTCATTTTAACTTGGGACTTTTACATGATTCCAACATGTTGTTGTAATTAATTTAATATTTTGTTCATTTTCTTATGTTCGAAGTCCAATTCGGACTATATTTATGGGTTTCAATATTTAGTTTTTGATAACACTTTGGTTTATTAAGTCAATGATTGAGCGTAAGTTAATGAATTCATCTGTCGTCACTCTAAGTGGGTAAGATATCGAGTTGATGTATCGGTGCGTCATGATAATAATATGTTGGGTTCAAGTCCCATTGATTTATCGTAACATCTCGTAACTCGAAATAGCTAGGGATAAGATAAGAAACTAAAAATAATCACTTCTGGAAAGAAAGGGAAAAATCTGAAAAATTTCCTAAGTTTAAGAAGTGAGTTTTGGTAATTTTCAAATGTCCATAATTTATAGCAAACGATGAGTTAGAGGTAGTTATTTCTATGGTTGGAAAGATCTTTCCAACGGCGCCGAGTTTGCACGAATTTGATATCGTATGAGGGAGATAAGCCTATAAGAAGTTTGGCTATTGAAGTAAGGAAAGTCCATTTCAAATTTAAGGAAAGACTAGCATTTTCACCCATTTATTTCCTATTTCATTTTAGGGATATATTTGGGGGTAAAAACAAGTTTTAGTCAGATTGAAAAGTTCAACTTTACGCCTAGGACTTGGAGAAAAGAGAAACAAGAAGGAAACAAGAGAAAGATCAAGGTTTCACCAAGAATGCCAAGGGATTTCAAGTGGAATTTATCGGGGGTGATCCCTATAAAATTATGTGAGATCTTTTGTATTGGGTTAATTCATATGCACACCAATCTTGTTTCAATTCAGTGGTTTTGGAATTGTTAACATTATAAGAAGTGAATTCTTGATAAATATTGTCGAATCCATACTTGGTTGAGTTGATTGAATACCCATTGATGTTGATTAGTAGTTTTCGATGTTGTTTTTGAGTTAGATCTGTTGGGTATTAAATGTATTGATGATCCTAAGGGTTTTGGGATAGAACTATGGATGTTTAAGAGATTTAGGACCAAAAAACAAAGAGAGAAGTTTGTTTGCCATACATGGGCAACACTAAGAACAACGTGCTCCAGCTGCTCTAGGGGCATTTGGGAGGCGCGCCTCCAGTGCACCAAGATGAGGCCTCAGACCAAATGGTCTAGTGCAGCGCGCCCTGACGCGTCCATATCAGCATTTTCCACCTAGTTTCGTAATTGAGACTTTTTAAGTCCTTATAAGGTACATAACACCTTACAATGATTCTAATTACTTAAAATAATTTCTAAACACCTAAAAATCTCTAATGAAAATGAATCATATCCTTGAATCCTTTATCCAATTCAAAGAAAGTTAATATTCAAAGTCAAAGAAGTTAAGGATCAAGTCTAGCAAGTAAATCAAAATAATGTCTTAAAGGTTTTCAAGAGTCCTAATTAAACGTTTTAACTTCATTTTAAGGCTCAAGATTCAAGTCAAAGTAAAGAGTAAAAGTTGAAGTCTTTATTTGAAGAAATATAAAGGGAACTAAGTATTATTTAAGAGTTGAGTTAAGATCAAATTTTCACGTTAAGCAAAGAGTAAAGAGTTTAGTTCATTTCTCAAATGTTATAAGGAAACAAAGTATTTCCTAAAAAGTTCATGAATGGTTTTCACATTTAAGTTTGAAAAAGGATTTCTGGTGACACGAAAGCTATGCTCAATGCTCTCTTTCCTATCCGCTGCGCTAAGTGGTCTTTCCCAGGAAACTATGATTTCCCAAAAGAGTTTTGAATAAGAAAAGGGAAAATTGAGTCCAAGAGAGATTTTTAAAGCTTAGTGTAGAGAAATTATCTCAACCCAAAGAAGGAAGTTGTTTTTAAAAACATATGAGCTAAAATATATTTTGGGAGTAATATTGAGAATCAATGTGGGGATGAGAGGCCATATTAACTCAAGTCTCCATGAAAACCATGTATTCATCATGGGTATTAATGGGTCATACTTTTTAAATGATCACACAAACTAAGCTAGTGGATCCACTAAGTAGAGGAGTTCTATGCGACAACAAAGTATAAGATAATTCTGATAGCGTAGGCGAGATTTTTTATTACCACTTAGGCTCATAGCGGTGGTTGTCTGTTAGAGCATCTCCCACAAAAACTATTTTACTTTCATATATAAGTAATATTGAGTTTATTATTGAATTTTATTTAATGAACTAAGTTGTTTACATTGTTTTAAAAGCTTTACAAATATTGCATGTGTCATTATTGCTTTATGTTATGTTTTGTATTTCACTAATTGAGGAGAGCCAAATGTAAGTGTTTCTTCTTATTCTCTTCGTGCTTAAGTTGTTGTTTAACATTCCAACTCGCATACTCATACATTCAATGTATAAATGTTAGCTGGCCTGCATCGTCTCATGATGCAGGCGTATGTAATCAGGATCAACATCTAGCACCTCTTTGATTTAGTTTAAGCACTCAGAGTTAGTGGTGAGCCTCCTTCCGTTCTAGAGGACTCCTCTATTTATTTTCATGTTTACTTTTAGGATGTTGTGCGGTTTGTCCCAACATCCATCTTAATCAACATGCAACCCGAACAAAATATCAGAATATGCACTCCTCTTATTAAAATTATACCCATGCTCCGGGGATACTCAAACTTCTCGTGGTTTGGAAAAATTTGGCAATTTGATGATTTTTCCCTTAGAAATGACATCAACCGCTTCATCATTGGGCAAATTATGTTATTTGGCACAAATGCGGGTTACTTAGACTTCACCCGAGTAGACCCAACAACATGCAAGCATAACCCCACAATTTTAATTAATATTGAGCATGATAATTTTGGGAATTTATCATTATAGGCACGATATTTAAATTTAAATACGCACATGAGCATACAGTCACATAATTAAAAATCAAAGAGGCGCAACACATATCACAAAGATAAGAATCAATTGTAAATGAGTACAAATTGAAAAAAAATTAATTCGTGGTTCTGATAACTAACCTTTGATGTTGAATAAAATACTTTGAAACATTAGGAGACAAATTAATCTAACTCTTAACACAAATACGGTGAAAAAATGTGGGAAAAACACAAAAATATACAAAACTATAGTGCGGGTGTGAGTTTGGGAAGTTTAAAAATGAGGGAAAGTGAATTTTTTTGAAAGTTTGAACCTTTGGCCTTTAAAAACCGTCAAGTTCTCACCCATTCTGTGACATTAGTATTTCTCGCCGACCCATTCGGTGACACACTGATTGGGAACTTACCATGCTAAGATTTACAAAATCTCTAGTTTATGTGGGCCGGGGTCCAAATGGAGGACTAAATAGTGATCACCAATCTGGTCGGTGATTTGGCAAATTGCTCCTAGGCTCACTGAGTTTTACAAACTCTAATTTGAATATTTATTGAGTCAAACGATAGTGCAAGTTGAGCTCGTTGACCTCCTCAGTGAGTGATTGACTGGACTTTTGGCTCTCGAACTTGCACCTTTCAAACACTTTCCACACTTTGTCCTCAACAATCAACAAATCATTATTTATAAAAACAAAAGAAAGCAAATAACAACTTGGGTTTCCTTCCAAGAAATGCCTTAGTTAACTTCACTACCCGACACAAGTCCGCGCTCAAACCTCATTCTTGGGGTTGCCCATAATATCACTAGGAAATCCCATAGTTGTCTGACATTTAAATGAGACGAGATATGATCCATTTGGGTCTCATACTACTCGATAGAGACGAAATATTATGTAACTGCCTGGATAAGGGTCGACATGTCTTCTTTCATTTATTTAAAATATTGTCCAACCCTTCAACTTTGTTTAGAATAAGAGAAAAAGTATCCTCAGTCCGGCCACCTTTTGGATCCTTTGACTTTTGACACTCGTGAGGAGGAACATACCTATCTTTCTCCTATCTTTGTGATTGTGATTTTGGTCCTTCTATTCTCTTCATGATCTCTCCAACCTTCATTCGTGCTCCAACCTTGGTTACCACCTTGATTAGGGTGGTTTGAATGATAACCACCACCTTGGTTGGCTAGGAAATTTACCTCCTCACTGTACAAAGCTTCAAAGTTGGCTTCTTCGGGATTTATACACCCAAACACCCATGACATTTACACCCCAAGGACAAGCACCCATGACATTTCGCCTAAAAATGTCAATTTGTGCCGTGATCTTGGCCATGTTTTGGTCCCTCTCTTGGTCTCTCTCCCTCTGCTCCTTGGTAAATTTTAAAGTGAGTGGGGAAACCCGATCTTCACGGGTGTACCAAGATGGATTGATTGTACTCATGCCATCCTACAGTTAAGTTTCTATTACATCATACTATTGCATCAAACCTCCAGGATAAAGCTGGTCAGCAACACCCTTATTTACCAAATCAAGGCTTCGGTAAAAATATTCAAACAACATATTTTTCAGGCAAGCCATGAGTTGGGCATTGAAGCACCAACTTCTTGAATCGTAGCCAAGTTTCATGAATGGTCTCATCATCCTCATGTTTGAATCTCTTAATTTTATCCTGAAGATTCATCATATTCGAAGGACGGAAATTTGCACTTGAAATGCAGTAATAAGTTCTTCCCATGAAGTGATTAATTCTCGTGGCAATTCAACTAGCCACTTACACACTTCTCCCATCAGAGTTAATGGGAACAACCTCAATCAGTCCAAATCTTGGGATATATTCTTGAAGGAGAATAACCCGCAATCATCAATTTTTTTTGGATATGCTCATGGGGATCCTCATGATCCAAACCACCGAACAACACCTTAAAGTTCAATAGTTGAAGCATAGTTCTAGTTATATGGAACAACACGTTCTCTTCAACAGACGACAAGTGAATGAAATCAATTACACCCACAAAATTCTAAAAAGTATTTACTTTAGAGAATGCATTGAAAAAAACTCAATTTATACAAAAGCTAACTCTGATGGAGAGTATATGCTAATTTAAGTAAAGTGAATATGATCATCCCTAGATCCAACGAAGGAATAAAATATTACTGAGTTTAGGAGAGTCAATATAAATAATCAAAACTAGAGATTACACTTTAATGACTTGTATTAATTTCATCCGATATGGAGGAAAGTCTAAGCCAATGCATGAACTTAATATTTCACTAAAATTTAGCCATGAGGACCATAGAGAACAAAACCTATCACTAGTATACCAAAAAAATATCTAAAACCATTATCTAAACGACTTTCAAATTGTCAAATCGCTTCATAACAATGAGTATTTTAAATTTGATCATTTCTGATGAATCTACAAAATTTCAGATCAATCAGAGTTCAAAATTAATATTTATCTTCAAACATATGATCATATTAAGATTCAAACAATTTGAGAAAAATAAATCAGATCTATATCCTTATCATATATCAATTCAATGTTAACTAATCACGTGTAATCATGTACCACATATAACATAATCACATTTTAATTTGAAAGAACAACTTAAAAATCATTTTAACAACCTTAAGAAAACATAATCACATAGCAATGAGTACTTCTTACTGGCCGTTATCAATGGACATACAAAATTTTAGGTCAATTAAAGACTACTAGATGATCTTATCATTCTAGTTCTTGAGAAGTTGATCTAGGTTCTGAAGTATGTTGTGAATTGACCTAAGTAACTTGTTCTAAGCTATGAGCTAATGATGAATTGTGATGTAGTGATTCAATTAGCCTTGTTATCATTTTTGTTATTGGTTTATGATAAAACTACCCCATAATTAGGTTGAGTTAAGGGTTGATGGTAAGACCTTGGTAATGGATTATTAAGGAGATTTGGTATGTCTAATTATTCCTATTTTTTTACTTCAAATTATGGTTAATTGTGATTTTGTCACGATGTTGTATTGGAGTATGCCTTGTATTAAGATTAATAAGGTTGTATGATGTTGAATTGAAATGTCTTGACTAAGATTTGTGAGGTTTTGGATAAGATTTAAATTTTATAAGTATGGTGAATGATTTACCAATGTGCCTTATAATGAAGAGATATGTAAATGTGCTAACCTCAGTTATATGAGTTGTAATGAAAGGATTATACTCATGTGATTCTTATTGAGCTATGATAATGATGATTATACAAGGGTTAGACCCTATGACATACAATAAGCTATGATGATTAATAAAGACATTAAAGACATTTCAAAAGGGACTTAGCTTAGCACCGAGCGAACTTGAAAATGGGAGGTGATGAATTCCCGTAGAGGAAGATTCACCCTATAATTCCACATGTGGTGTTGACTCCCCAACGAAGGATACTCATAAAATGGATTCTCATGAGAGGAGGCCCCAATTTCCAAGTGGTATGTAGAGGGATTATACCTATCTCTTAGTTCTTGAACTATGTTTCCCCCATAGGATGACTAGCTAGTGTATCACCTAGAAAGGTACGTTTATGTTTGGTTTTACTTTTGCCAATACACAACCTTCCATATGTGTAAAGTTTCACAACACCAGATTCCACACTTAGCTCTTGTGGTCTATGTCTGTTAAGGCAAGTTTTCCCTAAACTAAATTGAAGTATTGAAGTATAAACAAACTAGGGTGACAAATAGGTTTGACTTAGACTATGTATGGGTATGAGACTCTACCTATGCCTTGCACTAGTTTTCCTTGAGGGAAGCCTTAGGAGGTTGTTCTTATGTATGTAAATTCTCATAAATGTGAATGGTAATAATATGATGATCTTACATTTAAATGACATTACATGATATTGGTTACTTCTATGAACATGTATTTTATCTCTATTGTTAAAGTATGATGATATGTATTCTTAAATGATATGCTATGTGAAGTTGGATATTAGTCATGATTCTTGTTGGGTTACTTGATTGGGCAAGATCATGGAGCTTTGCTTGATCATTGAACTTTTTGACTTAATGAGGGGTCATGGGTGATTGTCTTGTTTGGATTATGTTGAAATAAACTCTTGCCTATGCTTGTTTCTATTATGACTTGATGATAGACTTGTGTGATTAAGTGTCAAATTATATGATATGTATAATTACTTGATCAGACTTAGTATTGTTGGTGTTGTGGTGCATATGCTTTGGACTTAATGAACGTGCCTAATGGATTGGTATAGTCTTATTGAATGTGCATAAGGTTTTCAAAGGGTAACATAGCATGTTTTCATGAAAGGTTCATTTTTAGCATGTTTTCATGATATGTGAGCATATGGTGTCATATTTAGCACAAGTGGTGTATTAACCGCATTTCTTCCTGTTCCCCCCAACATATTAGGTTTCGGTCGTTGAAGGGATTTTGGAGACGAATTCAAAGAATACTTGGAATTGTTGATCATCAAAGTTGGGTAGGTCCTCACTTTCCGAGGGCAATACCAATATCAACTGTAAAGTTGTTTTAGTATTAAGACTCTTATGTTTCTTTCCTTTCATTTGAGTACTAAACATTGTATGACCAGTTTTATTGTATTTATATATCCATGTGCAATAAAAGTATAAGACTAAGTAATCTTCATATATGAAGGGTCTACGTATACTCGATACACACACACACACACACATATATATATTGTGTGTTTTTTTGTGTGTGTGTGTTTGTGTGTATGTGTGTGTGTGTGTATGTAGAGGTCTATGTAAACCTCTGAGTAGAAGTAATGAAAAGTTTTAAATTTTCTGCTTTTTGACCTATGAATGTAATGATGTAAGCTAAAAGGCTAGTATTAGTCTTTAAAGAGGAAAACAACACCAGTTACGTCTAGGGGGTGCTCCCCAGATGTGACAAACTTGGTATTAGAGCATGAGGTTAAATATCTTTGAGTCGGTATCTGTCTAAACCATTCTATGTAGGTTTGTATTTATAATTTTGAAGCGCGCCACACTTATGAATATGAATCTATGATATGCTTAGGAAACCCTCACTTTCTTGGATGTCTAATATCGTGCGTGTAGAGTGTTAGCTCAATGTGGTTTTGCATCTAATCCACTTATTGTGAATATAGGCATTGAATACTCGGAGGATTGCGGCACAAAGACTTGAATAAGAGACTTTCAATGCGGGAGTTCCTCCCGAAGTGATCAAGTTCCTCCTCTTGAATAAAATGTGAATGATGACCAAGCCCCGGTGAATCCTTCTCCTTTGACGGATGATGCCATAAGGACTGCTCGTTTCCAAATGGACCAAGACATTACTTAACAAGCACAAGCTGTCACTTCTCAAGCCCAAGCCATGCCGGCCCAAGATGATTGGAAGGTTGTACGCCAAGCGCACCAACAAATTGCTACCATGGCCTCCCCTCTAAGGGATTTCACAAGGATGAATCCTCCTACATTCTATGGGTTTAAGGTTGAAGAAGACCCCCAAGAGTTCATTGATGAAATCTACAAGATTCATTATGCTATGTGGTTGACTACTAGTGAGAAGGTCGAGTTAGTCACTTATCAACTCAAGGATGTGTCTCAAGCATGGTACATATGATGGAGGGACAATAGGCCTTTAAGAGGTGGACCCGTGACTTGGGAAGTGTTCAAGAATGCTTTTCTTGATCAATTATTTCCTAGGGAGAAGAGGGAGGCTAAAGTGGTGTAGTTCATCAACCTTAGTCAAGGATTTGTGAGTGTGATTGAATACTCCTTGAAATTCACTAAATTATCAAAATATTCTCATTCTTTGGTTTTCGATCCTAGGAATAAAATGAGTTGTTTTATGATAAGGGTGCCAGATGATTTGCAAGAGGAGTGTCATTCGGCCATGATACATGAAAATATGAGCATTTCTCTTTTCATGGTTCATGCACAACATGTGTAAGAGTCAAGGGCTAAGAGAAAGAGTAGGGATGCCAAGAGGGAAAGATCTTTTGAAGGTGGTTCGTCAAAGGGTAGGCTTGAGATTCAAGAAAAGCCTAGGTTCAAGAAGAGGGTTTCTAATCAAGTTTCTTCAAATTTTGTTTAGTCTAGGGATGGTAGGGTGTCTAACCCTAAGTCTAAGAAGGGAAGGGATACTAGTTCACCAAACAAGACGCCTACTTGTGTAAAATTTAGAGAAGGTTATGTGGGGGAATGCTTAGTTAGAACGGTTAATTTCTTTTGTTATGGCAAGAGTGTTCACGAGTTTAGGAATTTCCTTAATGTAAAGGGTCAAGAAAATGGTAATGGGCAAGCAAGTAGTTCAAATCAGGCTCTGAAGAAGATTCACTTTTATGCCCTCTGCTCTAGGGTTGAGCAAGAGACTTCTGCCGACGTGGTGAGCGGTATGTTGAAAGTCTTCTCTATTGATGTATATGCCTTACTTGATCCCAGTTCTACCTTATCATTTATTACCCCTCTAGTAGCTAAAATGTTTGAATTTTGCCCAATATCTTGCATGAGCCTTTTATAGTGTTTACTCCGGAGGGTGAGTCAGTTGTTGCAAAAAGGGTGTATAGAAATTGTCCTATAATGTTGCCCAATAGATTTTCTTATGTTGAACTAGTAGAACTTGATATGTTTGATTTTGATGTCATTTTGGGTATGGATTGGTTGCATAATTGATTTGCCTCTATCGATTG